GGACACTTCACCAGTGCACAGAAACTGCCTCCTGGAAGTCTGTGTCAGGCCTCTACTCATGAGTTTTCAACTTGTGATGTGACTATTCCTTCCTTAGGTGAAAGAACCGAATCTCAAAACTTCCTTGGCTTCCAATGCTCCCTCATGTGGTGGTCTGCGCTGCCCTGGGTGCTCTCATGCAGACCCCTCTCTCTGCACATCCCCCACCCTGCCTGACTCTGGGCTTAAAGTACGTGCTGTGTGTGCAGAGGCAGCTGTAGGGACTGGAGGGACGGGGTGCATAAGGCTATAGAGCTGAGATGGGGGCTTCCCTGCCTCCCAGCAACCAGAGGGCCCTTTGCCAAGAAAGCATGAAAGTGGGGGGGGGGCGGTGTGCAAATGCTGGTTTTCTGAATCAGTGCTCTCCACACAGAGCAGTGCCAAGGGTCAGCATGGCTCAGAGACTCCCATCTCGATGGCTCAGTTTGCAGGAGAGCTGAGACCCTTCCTGGTCCCATTTCATTCATTCCATGGGAGCTGGAGCCTGCCACTGAGGGGGACCCAAGGTCACGGAGGAGTCTGGATTCCTGGCTTTCTCACCTGGACTGAGGAAGGCATTTGAAAAGGCCTGGCTTGAAGGTGAGCACTTCCCCAACGAGGCAGATTTCCCATCTTGCAATCCTCTGTTTTACCTTTCTGACATTTGGATTTCTTTAGAAATGAGCGTCAGTTGGGGGTAATTGACTTAACTTTTTCCATGACTTGACCACTCGACTCACTGGCTGCCAGCAGGTGACATACAGATTTGCTTCTTGTTTACTTTTTTTTTTTTAACTTCTCGTCTCCTATTCAAGCTTCAGTTCTATTTGCTAGTTGCTTCCAATAAAAGTTTACATCCTGGCTGCCTAAAACTGTACTAAAATTTATTCTAGAAAAAAAAAAAACTTTGAAAAAACTAAAACAGAGAAGAGAAGCTCCTCCAAACGGCCTCACTTACTGTGTGCCTGTCATCATAGCTCCAAACATCCCACACTGCTCTGCGCAGTTGAGATCAAACCGTACCTTGCAGGGGATGCAAAATGAGGACATCACACAAGCACCTGAATGCAGCCCAGCGGTATTCAGCCATGTGAGCCCGTCAAAGATCATTTGGATGAAGCCAGTTTGAATTCGCTTACAGTTACTTGCAAACAAATGGATTCTGAGTATGACATAAGTAGTCACTCCATTTTACCTTAAAAGCATTACAAAAACAATCACTGCAAGTAATTACATCTTGCTTCAAAGACGGCCTTCTTGTGGCCCCTTGAAAAGTATGGCGAGATGAGATCTCCTCTCCTTACCATGATTTCACTTTTCACAGTACCTGAAAGCCTTATCTTTTTAAACTAGGTAGGATAGGTCAAAGTTTCACATCCTAGGCCTGCTCACTTTTGCCCTAAGGGGTCAGACAGAAAGTATTTTAGGGTTTGCCAACCAAGCGGCAAAACTGAGCTTATTAAAAAGCTGCTTATACAATCATTTAAACTGTAGCTATTTGGAAATACAGAAACCATTCCCTGCTTGGCACAGGGCATGAAGACAGGCGGCAGACTGAACCTGGCCCCACGGTTATAGATGGTTGACGCCTCCTCTCGGATGTGTGAAGTCAAGAGGAATCATTCTTCAACCTCAGAGTTTTAGTGGCTCCTGGCAGTAGATGACGCCTTCTGGGGTGAGGATGTGCTGTTGGCGCCTGTCCACCCCCTCTCTTTTGGTGGCAGCCACAGCTTCCCACCGAGCACCACGCCCACCAGCTCTCAGCCTCTACACCTGCTCCTGGGGGCAAGTTCCTCAGGCCCCACGGATCTGAGCGTCACAGCTTTTGGCTTCAGTGATTGGCTTCAGGCTGGTCACATGACCTGAGCCAAGCCAATCAGTTCTTTTTTTAAAAAAAATTTATTTATTTATGATAGAGAGAGAGAGAGAGAGAGAGAGAGAGAGGCAGAGACACAGGCAGAGGGAGAAGCAGGCTCCATGCACCAGGAGCCCGACGTGGGATTCGATCCCGGGTCTCCAGGATCGCGCCCTGGGCCAAAGGCAGGCGCCAAACTGCTGCGCCCCCCAGGGATCCCCAAGCCAATCAGTTCTAATCAGATCCAGTCCCGGAGACTGGCCTGAGTGTCGGCAGCAAGGCTTTCCCTCTTGTCCTGCTGGACACGATGCTATGCTCAGAGCAGCTCTGGGGGCACAGCCACCTGCAGAGTGAGTCTAGCAGGGGGAACACACAGATGAAAGCATCACCTTCCTTGATGACATCATTTGCTGCATTGGATCCTTGGCACCCCATGGATGGTCTGCAGACCAGCAGCACTGGCATAACTCAGGACCTTTAAAAAACACCCAGCCCAGACTTCCTGAATGAGAATCTGCATGTAGGAAAAATCTCCAGCTGATTTCAACACACATTAGCTTGAGAACGCTTTTCTAGATGTTTTAGTTACATGAACCACGTTTGAGTCGGGCTGGGTTGGATGAGTCATCTGTATAACTCAAAGATCTCTGACTTATCTATTTCCTGGAATCCATAATGTAATTTTGCCAAGTGACACTCTCACTTACAAGCTCTTACCAGGCAGGCTGATAACAGTAATAAGAGAGTAATGGCGTTTTAAGTCCCAAAGGGAGCTTTGATGCTACTCTGTCTCTAACTCTGGCTGCACCATGGAATTGCCCACCAGTGCCTGCCTCCCAGCCCTCGGGATCCTCACTTAATCTGTCAGGGTGGGGCCCAAACAACAATAATTCCTAAAGACTCCTAGGTGATGCACATGTACAGCCAGGGGTGAGACATACCTATTTCAGTTCCTCTGTAGAAGAGATTGGTACACTTTTTCCAGAAAGGGCTGTCAGTACATACTTTAGGGGTGGTACACCACTCAGCACCTGCTACAAAAACTCAGGTCTTCCTGTGTTGAGCGAAAGTGGCCATGGACCATTCAGACATGGATGGATGTGGCTGTGTTCCTGTAAAATTTGACTTAGAAACACAAGCAGAGGCTGAGTTTGGTCCTGAGGCTGTATGTGGCGGAGTCCTGTTCACAGAGTGGCTTCATTATTTGGACAAGGCATTTCAACTCCTTGCATGCCAGGTATCAGGAGGGGCTGTGTGTCCATCTGCTGCCTGGTGTCCACTCTTGTGTCTTCTAACAAAACAACCCTGAAAGCTCTTTGGTTTCTCTCATGGTTTGTGCAGCTGACCCATATCTTGGTTTGCATTTTCCCAGAAGGATTCCATTGCAAGTAGTTTATTGTGAAGTGCAGACAACATCAGTCCTGCTGCATAGATGGGAAGGACAGCTTTGGACTGAGAAAGAAATCTCAGGCAAAAATGTGCTGGTGCTTGAGGTGGAAGGTGAGGCAAGGCAAGGTGAGGCAAGGGCAGAAAATCCACAGAGTCTGTTCCAACATGTGTAACATCCCTGCTATGGGCAATGCTTCAGGTAGACGGTACGATCCCATAGGAGTCGTCATGACTGTGAGACTTTGTTGGAGTTTCTGGAAATGAGCCACGTGCTCTTCCTGGGCTCCAGGCTTGAACCATTTGGCAAGAGTATTAGCAGCCATGCTGCCATCATGAGTCAATGCAGAGGGAAGCCAAGAGGCAGAATAAAATAGTCCTAGAGACAGAGCTGAGTCCAGATCAGGTGGACGTGACGTGAGGCCTGGATGGATCCTCGACTCTGAGCCACACAAGCCAGTAGATTCTTGTTGTACTTAAGCCAACTGGGTGGCAGTTTGTCAGCATGGAACCTAAAGAATCCTAATTGATGTATTTCCCAGCTTGGTATCGACGAAGCATGCTTATGCCAAAGCTGAGCAGAAATTAGGTTTACAACCTCCATGCCAGGCTCCATGTGAAGGAGGGAGGATTCTGGCAAAAACCGTTGTAGCTGAACTTCCAAGTGCTCTCCACGCGCCTCTGAAACGCCATCCTCTCTGACCTCCCGGCAGGGTGTCTCCCTGTGGGGCGGAGTCAAGCGCGGGCATGGCTCTGGAGAATGGTCCTGGCATGGCAGGAGCAGGTGCGTGACCACAGAGCAAAACTGCAGTGTGGCTTCTCACCATGCTCTCTTCCGTGCTCATTCCCAGCGGCCAGGAGGTCGAACCAGAAGTCACGGCTGAGTTTGTGTGTGCTATATTCATGCTGTGTTCTGTGTGGGTCCAGGCCATGTTGACTTGCCACGTGGGGAGCTAGACTGTGGTGTTCACCCAGCCCTCCCCCTGCACCCTCTGGAGACCTGACGAGGCCACAAGACTCCTTATGACCAACAGCATCATATGGAAGAGTCACACGTCATTTCCAGGCCATTGCTTAGAAAAGCATGTGACTCTCCAACCACCCCTTCCTCGGTGATGGATACCATGAGGACCATGTGTTCCTGATGTTGTGCTACAAGATGGTGAGGGGCCTGTCCATTGAGGCCCCTGAGACCCCACACGAAGCAGAGCCCCTAAATACTTCAGCCATGGTTGTGTTACCCACCCGAGCTTGTGGGGCTGTGTGCTGTGGCAGCCAGCCCTGCCTAGCTTATCTGACCAATATACAGAGTGACCTAACATTTCCTTAAAAATGGAACAGAGGACAGGATGCCTGCGTAGCTCAGTGGTTGAGCGTCTGCCTTTTGCTCAGGGCAGGATCCCAGAGTTCCGGGATCGAGTCCCACATCGGGATCCCCAGAGGGAGCCTGCTTCTCCCTCTGCCTGTGTCTGTGCCTCTCTCTGTGTGTCTCTCACAGATAAATAAATAAATAAATAAATAAATAAATAAATAAATAAATAAATAAATACACCTTTTTTAAAAAAAGGAACAGGAGAATAAAAAGAAGTGGCATAACCAGAGAAGTCAATGATAAATCGGGTGCAGTGAGAGCGAGTGTCGTGAGGCTAGCAGGGAAGTAACCGAGGCTGAGAAATGTGGCACGCATCCCGGGACAGATAGAGGGAAGGCCACGGGGTGCAGGGGTGGCTGCACATCTTACCGTGGCTAGAGGAACGATGCCAGCCAGGTCCTTCTGGCTGATGAAGATCTCGGACACGGCGGTGTCGGTGGTCGCTCTCCGTGGATATTCCACCTGCCAGGCGATGGGCTGAGTCCCCGAGAGGCTACTGAAGCTGGCTATTTCGAAGTTCATCTGCATGACCTCACTGAACAGGCTGCTGCTTCTGGAAAAGGAGCAAAGGAGCAAAGAGCATCGCTTTAGGCTGACTTCATTCCGTGGAAGGGCCCTCCTCTCCTGCCCGCCCCCCTCACAACGGTACCTAGAGTCTAAGGAGGAAACAAACGCCTTTTGGGGGCAGCACAGACCGGGGCACCACCTGTGAGTTAGGGACAGAGCAGGACCCACAGCAGGAGGATCTGGGCAGAGCCTGAAGCAGACACATTAACGGGGCGTCTGTGCTGCTCCTCAGACCACAGGAGCCCGCTGGCTCCACCCCCGCAGTGTGAGCCCGGGGGACCTAGCAACCAAGTTGGGCACATTTTGGGCTCCGTTTCTTGGGTATGCCAGAGGCTGCAGGCAGCTCATCAACCACCTTTAACCCACCTTAGCATTTCCCACAGTTCTAGAAGCACAAAAGGGACCAGGGACTCCCCTGCAGCAAGGTGCAAGCCTGCAGCGGGTCAGACCCCTCCTTGGGGATGCAGACTGGGAAGCTGGTGAGGATGTGGCAGCTCCAGGGGACCTGGCTGCTCTGTGGCAGCAGTAGGGGCAGTTCGGGCTCAGGCCCTGGGGTCGCTAAGCCAGGCAGACAGGACCACCATTTCTGTGCAGCCCCACAGAGCAGGTGGGTTTCCTGCCTCTTTCCTCCCCACTGCCTTGTCCCTGGCTCATGTCGCTGGCTCTCCTGGAGGTGGTGTGACCTGCCCTGCATCCTTCCGCTTCCAGGGAGGGGCTCATTAGATACAGGGACTCTCTGGTCCCCAAAGAAGCAGTTCGATCCATACCCTAAATCCGAGGTGACCCCCCACTATGTGTATTCGGAGCAAGCTTGCCTCAGCAATTGGGATGCTTTGGGAACTAAGATCCACGCTTCTCGTTTTTCAGACAATGATATTAAGGCCCAGAAATGGGGCGGCTTGCTCACGACCACACAGTCAGGCTGAAGGAAGCATATTTGGGGGTTGCCCCCCCTGTGTTCTCCACGGCTTTCTTCCCCGTGGCAGCTGGAGGCCAAGTGTGGAATCACAGGACACTGAGCCACAGTCTCCCATGCAGGGGTCAGCAAACTGCCACCCAAGGGCTGAATCCAGTCTGTGGCCCGTTTTCATGAATTGTTTTGTGGAAACACGACTCATGTGTGCATGTTTCCAGCTGTCTCTGCTGCTTTCGTGTGCCAAGAGCGGGGTTGAGCAATGCTGTTAGGTAGTGGGTAGCTGGTGGAACCTAACCTATGTGTTATCTACACTTTTATGGAAAAAGTTTGCCAGCACTTGTTTTAGGAGGTCAGGGTAGGGGAACTTGGAGAGCTTTCTGGAGCTGCTGAACTGATAAAATTGTCACTGGTGGAAATAAGAAGGAAGGGCTTCCCAGGCATGCAGTGTGGTCTGGAGGGTGGGCAGGAGTCTGGGGAGCTGGGAAGCCAGGGGTGGGGCCTGTTTGCTGGGCATCGCTGTAAGTGCAGGGGGTATAGCTTGTCCCAGCATCTCCCACTGCCATCAGCTGGGAGGTCTACCTGTTTTCAGGAGAATTGAGGGCAATTTTCCGTAGCACCTCAAGAAGGAAACAGGTATGCTTGAAGATGGCATCTCTACTATGCACCAGTCTGGAGAGTGCAGAGTATGGAGAATGCTAGAGAAGGCCTTCCTTTTGCTGGGACAATAAGGACACACCTGCCCAGTGTTTAGGGGGTTTGCTCAGCAACCAGAATGCTAATTCTCCACCTCATCTTGCTCAGTGCTGCTCTGTGGCCAGAGCAGGAGGTAGCAGGGAGATCACCACACTTACCAAAGCCCTGGGACTCATGTATCTGCCTCATGCTCTCTGGGCTGGAAGCAGGGCCCAGAAAATCATGATTTATGAGATGCTGGATATCCCTCAGGGAGGAGACATAAATCTAGTGTCTAGTGCATCAATCCATGAACGGTGCCATCTCAAGAATGAATTACTTGCCTTGGAAAATGAGGGAGAAGTGTCTGGAATCTGGAGCGTTTCTAAACTAAGAGCCTCAAATCTGCTCAGGCAGCTGAGGCCTGCAGGGTTCTGAGCCTGCTTGACTCAGCCTCCGGAAATTCCTCCCACCTGCTCTGGCCTGGCCTCTCTCTTCCCTGGGTGACAGACTTGCCCTTATTTGGGGGGTTAATATTACTCTCCTAGCAAGAACACCCACCCTGGCACTTCTTTATCTACAGCAGAGGTAGGTTCAGGCTGAGAATGCTGGAGACATCCAGGGGTTGTTTGATGGACTTCACTCAGCAAACTTCCTTAGTTATGGATGAGACAAAAGTCCAGGTACCCCAAGACCCACCGTGATCCCACGGGATACACTCCAGTTTGCAACACGCCTCAGTCTACACTCATCTTCATTAGAAAACTCTTTTATGAGCATCATAATAGTTGACGGCACCTTCTGAGACTAAGTTTTGTCATCTGGACGATTGAAATGATGGCATTCCCATTATTCAGAGAGGAACCTGGCAGGCAGGAGGGGCCAGCGTGTCTTACACCCTAGCTGTGTCCTCCTCTGTTGCAATTCTGCTGAAGAAGGGCAGCAGTGGTCCACGAAAAAGAAGCAGTGTTTGTCTTTCCGAATTTGGAAGATGTTGTTATATGATTTCTGTGAGCAATGGGGTTACCTTTCTAGGGTATTCTACTCAAGGTAATATAAGAATAAGGACAATAAGCCATTGTATATGAAAAGTTCTCTATGTACCAGGCACTGGACCAGATCCCATGCATGATTATTTCAAATCCCAATAAAAAACCCTTTTGGAGGTGATTATGGTTCCTATTTTGCACAAGTGCCAGAACAGAGACTTCCTTGTGTTTCTGCATGCAGGGAGGGTGTTTGCACTACTTGGTCCTCAACCTCCTTCAGTGGATGGAAGGCAATGAATGACTGGGCAAACGTCCGTTGGACACCCCACTCCCCCTCCTACCACATGTGAGTCAAACTAAACTTAGTCTTGGTTTCATGATAGAAAAAAATAAATAAAGTCACACTTTGGGGGAAACTTCAGCTTTCCATGGGCCTGTACAGAATCCTGGGTCAGAGTGACATGAGGGCGTTGCTGGGGCAGAAGGCTGACACAGTTCTGCAGGAGGCCAAAGACCTTGGACCAAGAGAAGAAGAAGCTTTTCTGAGGCCACAGGGACCTCGAGCCAGGCAAGATCAGCCCGATGGTGAGAAGAACCCCAGGGAGGCCCTGAATGAAACATTCTGACTCAAGAGGAGAAATTCCTTTGGGAAGAAAGAGAATCAGCCCCCTTGTTGGTTTACTTTTGTGCCTTTCTGCCGCTTCCTACTCTCCCTCACCCCACATGGCTTTTCACTGTTTGATCTCCAAAAACAATATAATGTGATAGATCAAATTAAAATGAATGGAGCCACATTTTGGAATGGGAGACTTTAGGGATTCTAAGGGGAGAAACTCATATGGTGGCAGTGGTCTCCAGCTCTGTTATGAATGGGCACATGGTCACTTCATTCCAGCCAACAGCTGCCTCATGGATCATGAAAATTTCTTTTTCATCCTGCAGTTTTTCTGTAAAAATGTCTGGATTTTAAAATATAAGAACTTTAATGTTTTAGCCACGATGTGGCTCAAGCAGCATCTCTGCTGGCTGTCAGTTTGCTCTCTCTGGCTGAGGAAAGTAGTATTCCTGTATTTCATAGAAGTGCCACACTTGGAGGTGGCAGATGCTGGAGACAATGCAGGTGCAGGGGGAGGATTTTCAAACTGTGGTCCTAGTGCCCTGAGCATACCAAGGTGGTGATGGCGGTGGCTGTGGGACCAGAGCTGGTCCTTAATGTCATCCCTTTTACTCCTGCAACATGAAAAACAGCTCCAACCTTACCTGTTGTAATACTGGGCCTGTACAGAATCCTGGGTCAGAGTGACATGAGGGTGGAGTATTTATTTATTTATTTTTAAAATTTTTAAATTTATTTATTCATGAGAGACACACAGAGAGAGAGAGGCAGAGACATAGGCAGAGGGAGAAGCAGGACTCCCCTGCAGGGAGTCCAATGTGGGACACCATCCCAGGACCCCGGGGATCACAACCTGAGCCGAAGGCAGGCACTCACTCAACCACTGAGCCACCCAGGTGCCCCAAGAAGTATTTATTTAAAAGATGAAGGGAGAAATAGAAGGAAGGAAAAGGTGGGAAAGAAGGAAGAGATGGAAGAATGAGGGAAACAGGGGATTGGAATCAAGATTATAACACACAACTCTGCCAAAGAAATACAGCAGGCAGTACGATCATGCTGTGGGCTTCCAAACAGACCTTCTGAGTTCAAACCCTGGCCTCACTAGCTGGGTACCTACGTGCAACTCAGCCTTCTTTTCCCTGTTTGCAAACTGGGGACACTACTCCCTCCCATTTCACAGGGTTGATATGAAGATATGCACCGGAGTGAGTAACTATCATGCACTTAGAACATTTTCACACTAGCAAATATCAATAAATGTTAACTATGCTTGTTTTCAGCAGGACTTGAAGATACATTTGTCCTCAGTGACTGGATGTTTGACTGCCTGAAGGTCCCTTGAAAACATGCCCCCTAGGACTGGTCCAGGAGCATCTTGAGAACAAGCCACGGCAAAGATGCTACGTCTGCCATTCAATGCATACTGGGGTTCATTCAGATTTGCATTTACTCCATAGCTGTCCGGGTAGACGATACCACGGTAAAACACATTTCTCTGGAAGAGGGAGACCAAGAAATAAGAAATTTGTCTGCAGTTCTGTCTGTGGTTGGTGCCTTCCTGCTGTCTCTGAGCTGAGAGAAATCTTTCCTAAGCTTTTGCCTTGAAGGAACTAAGAGCCCTCCATGCCCGCCCATCTGGGGCGCGTGAGACTACTGGAGTAATAAAGAGAAGAATTTAAACACTTAAGTGACTCCAGAGAGTGCCCAAGCACCACCACTTGCTAAATCAATAGTGTAGATTTATTGCAGTAACCCTTGGAAGAAATTTTCAAAATTGGCTTAAAAAAAAGCTC